TGTGAATAAGAAAAAGTACGTTTATGCGTCTGATTTCATAACTTAAAATATAGCCTGCAGCAATTAATTAGCATATTTGAGATCACCCCCTCGAGCCATCAAGATTGAGGACATGAAAAATCAAAAGTAATTCAGTGTAGGCTGTTTTTCCCTTTTCTTCTGTATTATTACGGTATATCTTCGGTATTATTACGGTATTCTGTATTATTACGGTTTTCATTGTATTATTACGGTATAGCTACAGCATCTTACTACGAATCCGGGTGACCTTGATTTGAACATGTCTCTCATGCACTTTTTCCTTCTACAACACTTTCCGATTGTTTTCTCAACTCTCCACAACTAGACTATACATTTTTCTCAAAACTGAGTTGATGCTGTTTCAGTTTTGTTTTGAAGTGGTTTTCAAATGCGATTTTTACCTTTATCGGAGCTATATCGACGTATCTAAGCTCAATTTTAAGAAACCCTTTTCGCAGTGTATTCAAAATTAGATAATTAGCTCAAATATATTACTAAAATATATACGAAATATATGATTCTGGAATTTTATTAAATGTTAACATGTGTGTATGAAAACAAATTAAAATAAGTGCACATTACTTTCTTTAATTTTAATATTAGGAAAAGTAATTCGTACAGTGAGAAAAGGAATTTCATTTGGACGCTTAAACCATTTTAAGTTCGGAAAAGCTCCGAACTTTTACTAAATTATATTTCATATAAAAAAACTTAAAAACATGATTACAAATCGAAAGAAAAAGTGCCTAAGAAAATACAAGCTCCAAATCTTAAGAATTATACTTCATAGGAATTAGCATATTTTTTAGAATTGCATTTTTAGAACACTAAGGAATGCTGAATCAATATTTGGTCAGTGTTCAACACAGGTCTTTTTTTGTGTGCTTAGTTTCAAATTGAACTTAGATTATTAATTTATTACCTTACAAGGAATGAATACTTAAAAATACATAAATTATATTATTACCACCAAAGTGTAGAAATTAATTGTTCTACAGAATATTTAGCGAATGTGCAAAGTAGCTAGGATGATCGGTTGTAGCGAGAATTTTATTTTTAATTTTTCGAACACCTAAATATTCTTTAAACTACCTAGATAATCCACACATTACATCCTAAGCACTCGCTAAAGTGAAAATAAGATCTTTACACGAACAACAGCAATGCATTTGTACGCTTAAATTAACATAATGGTATTTATTTATTTTTGACTTCCTAAAACATTAAATTATAACGTAAAAAATCAGCAAATTAACTGTTAGAATTACTTGATAGACAATTCAGTCAACTATCAACCACTTTAAGAATTATAATACAAATAATCAAATGGTTTAAAATATTATTACAGTTAAGGAAATTAACATAATGTCGTTTAATTTTTTTTTAAATCTAAAGATTTAAGCCAATAAATATAATCAAGCAATCGACAAATTAGTTGATAGAATGAGAGGGACAAACTTTCGAACTTCACCAATACGGAAGCTATAATTAACAGTACGGAAACCATACGCACATTACCTAGAAAAATTGTGGAAAAACCTTTATTCCACATCCTAACGGATTTATTCCACATTTTAACGCATTAACTTTGTTAATCTGCAGATTAGCCAGATAATGTGCATATTAATGGTTGTAGAGCTTTAGTAGTACTTTAGAGCTTTGCAAACCTTTGAACTTTAACAATGATGAAACTGTTAATGCGCACATTACCTATGAAAATTACGGAAAACAGATTTTAACGCATTAACTTAGTTAATCTGCAGATTAGTCAGATAATGTGCATATTAATGGTTGTAGAGCTTTAGTAGTACTTTAGAGCTTTACAAACCTTTGAAGTTTAACAATACGGAAACTGTTAATGCGCACATTACCTATGAAAATTACGGAAAACAGATTTTAACGCATTAACTTAGTTAATCTGCAGATTAGCCAGATAATGTGCATAGTAATGGTTGTAGAGCTTTGGTAGTACTTTAGAGCTTTACAAACCTTTGAAGTTTAACAAGACAGAAACTGTTAATGCCCACATTACCTATGAAAATTACGTAAAACAGATTTTAACGCATTATCTTAGTTAATCTGCAGATTAGCCAGATAATGTGCATATTAATGGTTGTAGAGCTTTAGTAGTACTTTAGAGCTTTACAAACCTTTCAACTTTAACAATGCGGAAACTGTTAATGCGCACATTACCTATGAAAATTACGGTAAACAGATTTTAACGCATTAACTTAGTTAATCTGCAGATTAGCCAGATAATGTGCATATTAATGGTTGTAGAGCTTTAGTAGTACTTTAGAGCTTTACAAACCTTTGAAGTTTAGCAAGACGGAAACTGTTAATGCCCACATTGCCTATGAAAATTACGTAAAACAGATTTTAACACATTATCTTAGTTAATCTGCAGATTAGCCAGGTAATGTGCATAATAATGGCTATAGAGCTTTAGCGGTAGTATATGTTTAAAAACAAATTTTAACTAACGAAATTTAAATGCGCTAATTCATTTTATTCATAAAAGTTCTTACGAAGTTGCCTTAAAAGTGATTTCTAAACATTAGTATATTTATTCTTTAATTACTTTTGATAAAGTTTTCATAAAAAATTAATTAAATCCAGAAATAAGTAAACCCTTCGACTTGAATTGTCTTGGGGATTCCAATTTCGTTGATTATGTTTATCGAAACTCCTTCAAAAAACAACTTATTTTTGAAAAAGAAATGTTTAGAAATTTGTTCTAGATCATTAACTCTTCGTTCAAGCAAGAGAAGTTTTATTCTTAAAATCTTTTTTTTTTTGTTCTTAAAAACTGAACACTCTTGTTTCAAAGACACATACATGTGTGGTAGGAGAAATACTTCGAAGAATAAAGCTATTTGGTTTGTATTTTTCTGTTGTGATCGTGATTTTCACGCTGAAATGAAACTTCTACTCCCTGTCCAAAATCTTCTTTTCCATTTGAATACATCTTGAATAAATAAATAAAAAACATGAGAATGAAGGTTTAAGTTTTGAAGAATAATAATTCCTGCTGTTTGGTTTTAATCTTCATTTTCAATGAATGGATCAAATTTAGACATGAAATGGTAGAGCATAAGTATATTTTAAAGCATCAAAGAATAAATTTCATACTTATTCCATTTCTTTTTCTTAAGTTGACTGTAAATTGAACATATGTTGATATTTGGTAACAGAACTTAAAATGTTAAAAATATGCGCAAAAAATGTGAAGGTATTTAGTTTTAATGAAATGAGATTTTAATGTTTCTGCATATTTTATAAGTTGAGAAAATATATTAAATGGTGCAATATAGTTTACATATTAAATACTCCAGTTTAATTTACACATTAAATGATTGAATTTCCTTTTAAGTAATTTACCAATATATACTGTATGAGCTTAACATCATGAGTAAATAAAGGAGTAGGGGCTAGTATATACCTTTTCCATGAATTAACAAAAAAAGTTTTAATAAACGTTATATTTTGTCGCATATAGTATTTGGTTTTATTAAATCTTTAAACGTTTATTTTCATTAAATCATTTATTCAATTCCTTATTACAATATTGTTGTGCTATAAAAGTTAATTTTTTAAACATGTTGCTTAACAATTTTTTTTTAAAATGTCTTTGCTCAAATGTCTAGTTTTATGCTATGGGGCTAGTGAAGACAAGTCACTATATTGTTGTTGTTCCTTATCCTCCAATGGTCTGACGGAGTCAGACAAGATCCAATAGGTTGTTCACCCTCAAAAAGTCGATGACAAGAAGTGGAGTAGCGTATAAGTCCTCCTTGGAAAGGCCAAAGCAGTGAAGGATATGTTCGGCAGAGGCCTGCTGGGCTTCACATTTGGAGCAGACTATATAAGTCTTTCTTCCTTCAAAGTACGAGAGACTAGTCGTGTGTCCACTTGCCGATATGGAAATTGCTGTTTGAGACGCTCTATTACCTATATGAACAAGTGAAGAGCCCGGTTCCTTGGCCGCTTTCCAGTTATGAGAGGGGGGATCCTCCATTTTTTTGATAGCTGGCTTTTGATTTTGGACTGATTCTCTGAGTAGGTAAGGGCTGAGGATGTAGGTGTTGAATGACTACAGCCCTCCTTGGCCAAGCGATTCGCTTGCTCATTGCCAAAGATGTCAACGTGGGATGATATCCACTGAAGATCAACGTCGTGGTACTTTGAAATAAGTTTAAGTTTGTTCAATTGTTGTAAGCTGTTCAATTGCGATTAATTCACTTCTAAAGACTGAAGGGAAATCAGGATTACCGAGACAGATAATTTTGCCCAGATTTTTCAATGAAGACGCCGCTACCAGCTAGATCTCCCAGTCCACTATCGTCTGTGTAAATTTTTAAGGCATCACTGGGAATCTCGCCTAAAATTTCCAAAGCTAGCTGCCTAAGTTCAGCTAGAATATGATTTTTCTTTGTGACCGGAGCCGAAAAGCCGAAGTGAAAGTGGACTCTGGGGATTCCTTCTGAAGGATTCAGACAAGATTTTAAGGAGTGGGGCTCAACGTCTTCAGAAGGCAAATGCAGAAGTTCAACATGACTGAATGAACTGTTTCTCTTCAGTCGCTGATTGTTGCGCCAATTGTTAAGGTAAAGATAGGGTCTATTGTGCTAACCATAGCTAGAAAGTTTGTTGTAGTAATTGGTGAGATTAGCCTTTTTTCTAGTTTGGAGAGGTTGAAGATCAGCCTCAAAGAGGACTATTTCTTTAGGGCAACTACGTCTGAGTTCAGTAATTATTCTTGCAGCACTTGGTTGAACCCTCTGCAATTTATCCAGATTAGTGGCAGAAGCACAGCAGTACGCTGGAAAGCCATATTCCAGGATGGGTCTAATGAGAGTCAAATAGGTATCTCCCAACGTGACGGCTTCAGCTCCCCAATCTTTGCCCGCAATATATTTAAGTAAGTTTAATCGTTTTCTGCATTTTGAGACAATATGTTCAATATGTTTGTTGCTTGTCTATTCTGGGTCTGAGACATATCCGAGATATATTGGATGCTTTTCGTAAGCAAGATTCTTGTCATCCATCTTTATATTTGACTGATAGTTGTACAATCTTTTGTTGGTCGTAAAGAAAGTGACAATGGATTTGGCAGGATTAAAACAAAGTTTGAACTCCAAAGCGTAGTCTGAAAAAGCAGATAATGCATTGTTGAGATTCCTCTCCATTTCAACTAAATCATTTCCAGAGCTCCAGAGAACGATGTCATCAGCAAACAAGCCAACTTTTACCGCTTTAGGAGGTGTTTTCTCAATGCCTGCTAAGTAAAAAGAGAAGAGCGTAAGGCTAAGGACTGAACCCTGAGGGACGCCCTGTCCGAGCTCAACTGGGTCTGAGAAGGTGTTTAAATTCACCCTGATAGATCTGTGATGCAAGAAATCTGAGATCCACGCCAAGGTGTTACCATGAATGTTAAATGTGTCATGTAGTTTAATTAACAGCTTGTACTTCCATACCCTGTGAAACGCTTTCGTAAGATCCAGGAGAGCGGCAATAGTGTGGTGGGTGGGCTTGAGATTTTGATCATCCCTTACGTTCTGGCAGAAAAAAAAGGATTTGATAAATAGTGCTATGGCCTCTCCTGTAGCCATACTGTTCACCAGGCAATAGATTATTGTTGTCCAAAAAGTACTGAATTCTGATTAATATCATTTTCACCATTATTTTACAAGCTGTACTTGTTAGTGCTATGGGTCTGAAATCCTTTGGGGCCCAACTCTTTTTGCCAGCTTTCTTTATAGGGATTATAGTGGCTTTTTTCCAGTCAGCCAGAAGACAACCTTTTTCCCAGGAGAAGTTGATAATTTCTAGAAGTCTCAGTTTTCCACTGTGACCCAGATTTTCAAGCATTCGTCCAAAAACTTCATCCGGAACAGGAGATTTAGTCATGTCTGAAAAAGGCCACAGCAAGGAGCAGTTCCCGCTGGGAGAAGTCCCTAGATAAGTCTTGATCGCCCATATCAGTGGTTCGACAGCCGTGAATGATGTTTTTTGCTTTTTTCAAAATGGGTTTATGGCTAGTGAAAACCAACTTGCTAGTTGCCTGGTAGTAGGCTGCAAGGCCAATTGCTGCCGCTTTGTCATCAGGAAAAACCTGCCCATCTGAGTCAATTACTGAGTTACTCTCTTCGCACTATTCTTGTTCTTTGTTGATATTTTTAACAATTCACCAAAGTTTCGAGTTATTAGTCCTAGAATCCAGATTTTTGCACAATTCTCTCCATCTCGATCTCTTAAGTTGTGCATGAGATGTCTTGATTTCCGCATTAATCTTATTGATTTCTGTGCCAATATTACTGTTATTTGAACCAACCCTGTCATTCAAAGACCCAAACAATTGTTTTCTTCTATCCAAAAGTGGTTTTAAATTAGGAGAATGGTGTGTGAAAAAGGGTACGTAAGTCACTATATTAAATAAATAGTCACTATATTAAATATTTAATCTATAGCGACATAATTATTGAAGGTAAATTCAAAAGGAAATTATAGAGGCAAAATAAAAATGAAACTAGTTTTAACCTGAAATAGAGACTTGAATAAAAAATCTTATCAATATTTGCTTTAATTATTGTTAAGGTTTTATAAATATAAATTTACAATTAATAACTGAATTGAATTCTAAACATTAAAAAAATATCCGTTTTAAGTTCCATCAACTTCATAACGACTCTTTTTGCAGCATTTGTTTAGTAGAAGAATATTATTTTATTAGCAAAGTGCAATTTCATTTTTATTTTATAAAGAAGTTTGCATTTATTTTTTACATTTATTTAAGTTTACATTTATTTAAAGACGTAAGCATTTTGCAATCGATATGAAACCGCAAAATTTAAAACGTGATTGATTAATAGTTTATACAAATTTTTTTTCTGCACGAAAATTTACCAAATTTGAATATTGAAAAATTAAGAAATCGGAGAATCAAATTGATTAAAATCTAATTTAATAATTTTAAGCAAATTTAATTTTGTAATTTAACACCCCAATTAATAAAGTGCTAGTAATTGACCAAATTATTATCACTGATGGTTTAATCTAAACATGTCGACAGCAGCTCTACAGCTATGTGAGCGGAGAAAAAAAATCGGTATAGATAACGTAATGTATGATAACGAAATTTCTGGTAAAACAATCCTAATTCTGGTTAGCAAAACCAAACTATACGGAATTTAAATCATTCATTTGGTCATTTTTCTGTTCACATGGTAATAGTTTACCGGCATTCCTGGTTTTTTAAAAATTCTTATTATTATTACCATACATTTAGTTAAAAATACAAAATTGAATAGAAAATTTAGTCGAATAAATGGTTTTTATGTCACGCTCTTAGGTATCATTATGAAATTACCAAATTTTTCCAAATTTACCAAATTTCGTCAGTCATTATAAAACCATATTTAATTGTTAATTTTACAAAAATCATTACCAAAGTGCTTCGGAAAGAATTATAGAGCTTTTATGAGTTCTCATAGAGCCAAAACCAGGTTTCATTTTATTATACTCTGGTACATTTATTATATATACCTGTATTATAATTTCACCATACCTTTTTTACCTTTTTAATGCGTCTAAACTAGCCCCATAGAGTCATTTCTTCATTAAGTTGGTGATTAATTAAAAAAATACCGATCGATTGTTTATATTAAAATATGAAGGAAGCTTATTCTTTTTTAGTATAATATGTCTTATAACTTAAAGAGTATAAAAATAGATGGATGTGGCATTTAAAATGCAAATTAAGAATTTACTTTTCCACCATAAAAACCCCTCAAATTGAAGGGTATCCCTCAAATGAAAAAAAAAATGTATCATGTTAACCATGTTTTTCCTCCAATTCAACCTGTGGAGAATTATGTGTCAAGAATTTACTTACGGAGTAACCACCTTAAAAGTGATTATAAGTGATACTTTTGAATTGGCTTGGACTCATTTTCTTTATAGACATATGTTCTGTTGATTTTAGTTACCAAAGAATAAAATTACAAGATTGTAAGTATTTTTAAAATTTGAAATTTGAAGTAATATTTTTAATTTAAAATTGTAAATAAAATTTGAAATTTAAAAAGCATTTAATTTTGAAAAAGTTTTAAAAATTCTCACAATTTTACAATTTATATTATGGAAACGCCATTTAATGGAACATAACAAAGCCTATTGAAAAATATTAATTAGTTACTTCATAAATAATATATAATCCGGGCAAATAATACACTGTAGCTTAATAAAATCCTTCTTTCTGTCTCAAAAAGACCGTAACAGTCAAATGATTAAAACAAAGTTTGAACTCCAAAGCGTAGTCTGAAAAAGCAGATAATGCATTGTTGAGATTCCTCTCCATTTCAACTAAATCATTTCCAGAGCTCCAGAGAACGATGTCATCAGCAAACAAGCCAACTTTTACCGCTTTAGGAGGTGTTTTCTCAATGCCTGCTAAGTAAAAAGAGAAGAGCGTAAGGCTAAGGACTGAACCCTGNGTATAGAATAGTTCCCTTTCCAAACTTTGTTTAGATAGTTTACAATGGTGTGCACTTTAACCGGTTATCTTTTCACCTATGGTTTCACAAATTTTCTTATGGCATGTATTGTTTTGATACATCACAATTGAAAATTTAAATCTTCGAGTTAGCTTCGATACCTGTTTTCTCCGAGCGGAGCTCGGTCACCCGCTGGTAGAGTATTATAATAGAGTTAGGTTTAATAGAGTATTTGTTGAGAAGGACTTAAAATTGTTGGGAATAAACAGGTGGAAAAATCTAGCTCAAAGTCGCCGTACCTGGAGACAGCTAATTGAGAAAGCATTGGCCTGCACTAGGCTGTAGTGCTGACGAAGAAGAAGAAGAATTTAAAAAAAAATCAAAGCAAATTTTGAAAACACATTTTGCATTTCTGAAAAAAAAGCAGAATTTTGTAACATCCTTAGTGATAAATAGATATTGCCTCAGGTTTGAGATTGATTTAATATTTTATTTTAGCAAACTGTATATTCCCCATTTTTTCCATACCGGTTAAATATATAATCGAAAAAGCTAATGATATATTTCAGCTGTATCTAGAAAACCACTCAGTCAATTATTTTTGACCTCTTTGAAGATATTGACTGATATTATTTGTTTGTATGAACCAAATAAGTAAAGAAATAGTAATAATATGAATTGCTTCGTATTGATTTATCATCAGAATCCCATTCTTTTAGATTTGTTGCCGGTAAAAGAAAGAGAAGAGAAATCGTTAGTAATGTTGTGCTTCCGAAGAACTATAAACTGAATTGACAACATCAATATTCTGCCCTATTTCCCCATTGTGAGTAGAGACGTTTTAGCGGCTGAAATTCTAAGTTGTTTGAATTTAAGTATCGTCAATAGATTGTAATGAAATAAATTAAACCTTTTCTTTATTAAGGGAAATCTACTATTTTAAATGTATCTGGATCGTTTGAGATTTTTATTTCTCCTTTTTTTAAAATGAAGTTTTCTATTTTTCAATATTTTTTTTGTATATTTCATTTGAAATATTTTTAAATACTAGTGTGAAGTATTACGCTGTATTTAAAGGGGGAAAAACAAAATAATGGAAACACTACGATAGCTAATACACTTTTTCATATTTCTTCAGAAGCAGTCAAAGAAATATTTTATAATTTCAGAAATGTTTAGATCATACGGTTTCTCATACATATCAATGAAATTTAAACCTTTTAGAGGTATGCGGGACCAAAAATGAATTACAAACGGAAAATAATGTTATTGAGCATCGCATGCCAAAAAACTTAGCAATGGATTTGTAATTTGTGACAGTTATTTTGGTGATTGTATGCAATAATTACAGAAAATTTCGCAAGCTTAGATTAAATATTTATAGAGATATGAATATTTTTATGAAAAACTAATTTCTTTTATCTTGCTACCTTTTGTTTTAATTTTAAAAATATTCAATAAGACGATGCAGCATTTTTAAAATTATAAATAAATATTTTTCTTTAAAATTTGAAAAAAGATTGATGTGCAAGATATAAATAATTAAAGTAGTATACTGCACATGCGCGGGTAAAATTAAAATTTTTTTTCCTACATTTTGTAGCGAATTGCATTTAGCAACCAGAAAAAAAAACTGATTTGAATATCTTAAAAATTTAAAAAGTTTCAAGCAATTTTCTAAGTAATTTTCGTACTTTTTAAAAGAATGCTAGAAATGATTAGGGATTTTCCACATGTTTCAATTTGTATTATTGAAAAGGATTTATTAAAAATGATCCAGGCATTGTTGGGGATCATCCTCCATAAAAGTATATTTTTTTTTGCCTGCTTTCTTTTCTTTCACATTTTGATGCATGAGCATTAATAGCAAGGTATAATAATTTGTTATTAAATTCTGTCTTATGCAACAGACTAATATTTGTAGAAAGCACCTTTATCATTTTGAGCTGTCTTTTAAAATGTACGAAAACTACTTTGAAAATTGCTTGAAACGTTGTAAATTTTTAAGACATTCAAATCGGACTTTTTTCTATTAGTTGCCAAATAAGATTCCCTTCAAAATTAAGAAATTTTTTTAATAGTTTTTCCCGCGCAGGCTCTGTATAAAAGAAATAGTTTAATTACTCATATCTTGTTCAGTTTCAACTAAATTTCACCAAAATTTTTAAGTACAAATTCCTTAATTAATTTTGCATAACTCTTAAAACTTCGTTTAATTTTATTAAATATTTTTAAAGTTATAGCAAAAGAGCGTAAGACAAAAACAATTAGTTTTTTTTATAAAAATATCCATGTCTGTAATTTAGTATCGATCCCTCAAACCTCTAAAGGCTTTGAACTTCATTATGTATGAGAAATCGCATGATCAGAACACCTCTGTTTTTATGAAATATTTTGTTAAATATTTCTGGAGAA